TAGCATTCTGAAATGAACTTAGAAGTCTCTCAGTATCAGCTATCTTCTTTGGTATATAGAAATGTTGCATTCAACTGTTCACGTGTGCCGATACTAAAATCCTATAAAAATAAAAATTACAACTATCGGTATCTAATTAGTGTGATGAAAGTGCTATATGTTAGTTTTATGTATAAAATCCAGATTCCTAATAATGCGCTATACAGTGTTGATCTGGACGTAAGACGATTTTTCGATACAAGTGAACTCACTCAGACGATAATTACATTTTATCGGTATCATTACAGAAATGTATATTATTTAACTTCTCTTACAAATGATGTTCCAATTACAGTATTTAAATGTTTTCTGCTTACTACCCGATTTTATGTTGTTACCGCTTACACGACAAAGAAATAATTATACAAATATTTATGTAACACTTGGCATATATTATCATTAATTGTAATATACGAGAATATAACAATATGATAAAATTTAAACTGATATAACTATAGAATTCTTTTATAATTAAATAATAAGTACTTTTAANCATATTTTCAGCATTTGTAATTTTATATAATTCCCATAACACGAAGAACGTAAATTAAGCTAATGACATATTTACGTCTTTTAATTTGTCTTATTTCTTGTCTAGTACACGTTTCAGTTTCTTTGAAAGTCAACGTTCTATCTAAGTTCATTCATGTATATCATTTTCTTTAGAAACTTTTTGAATGTACTGTACGTTTAGTTCCATGTATTTAATAAAATTCTTTTATCTTCAAATAATACGTAGTCTATAAATTCATAGATTTTATAGACTACGTATTACTTGACCGCCCGGATCCCCCAGAGCGGTAGGCTGCCACCTTGACCGCTCTGGGGGACCCGGGCTCGAATCTGAACGGCATGACGGGCCCCGTCCCTCACCACCTGGCAGCCCCATTGTGGACCTGGCCAAACCCATAATGAAATTGCAAAAACAGGACCTCTTAGTGCCCACAGAGTGGAGAGTTTAAAAAAGGAAAAGTATGATATACAGGGGCAAGCCACGACTAATTTGAGGTGGAGAGCATATATTTTAAGTTAAATAAATAAAAAGTATGATCAAAAATTGCAACCCGGCGTTGTGGCGATTTAACAGTAAATAACCGCTCGTTTCTATACGTTCAAAATGTTACGTTTATTTTCGGAGACGAAAAAATTAAAAAATATCTAGAAATACTTTTTAATATTTGCCGAAAGATTAAACGAGAATATAATACACTAATAGCGAAATGAATATTTTACTCTGCAATTGATTTTTCTTCAATTTTGTTTACTTTGATTACTTTTATGGCTCTAAAAATAATTTAATCATGTTTCTTATGGACAAGATTGTTATTGATCTTTTCCGAAAACATATTTATTATTTTATATTTCTGATATCTATTTATATTTTAGTTACTTGGGAAGTAAATTTATGACTGTCCCAGTCAATAGGCATATGGAAAAATTTTTCATTATACGCTTAAAATGAAAATCTATAATTTTCTAAATGTGATTTAGATGCGGGAGGAAGTAAATATAATTAATAGAATAAATCATTAAATTTTACATATATCGTAAATACAGTACTAAATATTTTTAATATTTTATGAATGAAAACATGGTTCGTTATATTTTTGAATTTATGTATTGATATATCGCAACAAATTTTCATATATACTAGTCGAAACTCGTAAAATTACTTAGTAATTATATGGCAAAAACAAAGTAAACAAAAAACAATTGAAGTACGTATGTAAGTAATTTTTTATAGCATTCTGAAATGAACTTAGAAGTCTTTCAGTATCAGCTATCATCTTTGGTATATAGCAATGTCGCATTCAACAGTTCACGTGTGCGAATACTAAAATCCTATAAAAATAAAAATTACAACTATCGGTATCTAATTGGTGTAATGAAAATGCTATATGTTAGTTTTATGTATAAAATCCAGATTTTTAATAATGTGCTATACAGTCTTGATCTGGGCGTAAGACGATTTTTCGATACAAGTGAACTCACTCAGTACCACGTTAGGGTCTTTTTCTGCCCATGCATTTTCTGGAAATTTTACACTACTACTGGTTTTTCTAGATGAGTCTCAGAGAACCAGAAATTTTTTGCGTAAAAAATTTTACTTGCTGTAAAACATTTTAAGAACATTTTGCATAGATTATTAGTTAAGAAAACATTAAGTTTCCTAGGTTATTTACGAAATTTTAAATGTAAAATAATTGCAAAAGTATGTGTATCTGGATCTGCTTGACTCAGCACAAGGAAAAATGGTTAATCCATTAATATGTTGAAAATAAGTAGCATTTTTCGATGATTCGAAACATTCCAACCGCATGTTACTTGTTAACAATTATATTAAAACTAGCAGGTGAGCCCGACGTTGCTCGGGCAAAAGTAACGATAACTAAGATTAAGATTATTACGTTACAGTCAACATTACCCGTTTTCACAGTATGCAAGAATTGGGTCCCCTTGTTTCCAGACTAATTGGAGAGTTTTTAGATAGTTTTAAAAATATGTTCGATTTCCCACTGAAACGAAGAAAACTGCATCTGCGTCTTGCACGTCGCTTTCTCTTAACAATTTCGTTGTTGCTTAACACTTCCATTGTTGATGGAAGTGTTTAGCCTTAATCCTGTCCCTCTCCCCCGTGAGGAGGAATTTCGAAAAATCCCTGTGCGTTCTCGTAACGTACCCTAACTGTGGACCAAATTTCAACTTTCAACTCCTAACTGTTTGGGCTCTGCGCTTATTATTATTATTATTATTATTATTATTCAATGTCCACACAGCAAACAGAGTAGAAACGCTGGTTAACAAAAACATAAGACCACAAGTCGAACACTTCCCAAGCGTTTAAGACTGTGTGATATACCTTCGAATGATGCGAGCAGATCCAAGTATGGTGGCCTTTTGCAACTGACAGATAGTAATTTTGTCAATATTTATGGCTTGTAAGTGTACACTAAGATCTTTTAGCACAGCCCACAGTGCGCCGATAATCACTGGGACCACCTATTATTATTATTATTATTATTATTATCATCATCAACCCGTCTCGATTATATATTAGATGAACATTATCTCACTTTCAATCATTGAAAATCTGTATAATTACATTTCAGGTATCACAACAGAAATGTATATTATTTCACTTCTCTTACAAATGATGTTCCAATTACAGTATTTAAATGTTTTCTGCTTATGAGACAACAATGAAACTACTGCCCGATGTTATGTTATTAACGCTCACATGACAGAAATAATTATACAAATATTTATGTGACGCTTGACATATGTTATCATTACTTGTAGTATACGAGAATAACACAATATTATAAAATTTAACCCAATATAACTATAGAATTCTTTTATAATTAAATAATAAGTACTTTTAATAGGTATGTCCAACAATTCCAACGTTTGGAGAGTAGCTGGAACCCAGGNGTTAGGCTTAACATTGACGAAAATTCAACGCGAAGCGACACGCAACAAAGAAAAATGTCAAGACGGGATAAGTTAATATATTTTTTAGTACATATTCGGTTATCCGAAATATTGATTTTTCCGAATAACCCCACTCCACAATTCATTCGGATACACGACGCTCTACTGTAATTACATTTCAGGTATCATAACAGAAATATATATTATTTAACTTCTCTTACAAATGATGTTCCAATTACAGTATATAAATGTTTTCTGCTTATGAGACAACAATAGAACTACTGCCCAATGTTATGTTATTACCGCTCACATGACAAAGAAATAATTATACAAATATTTATGTAACACTTGACATATATTATCATTAATTGTAGTATACGAGAATAAAACAATATGATAAAATTTAACCCGATATAACCATAGAATTCTTTTATAATTAAATAATAAATACTTTTAATAGGTATGTCCAACAATTCCAACGTTTGGAGAGTAGCTGGAATCCAGGTATCCATTTTGTTTTTACTCTATAAGTATATAATAACTACATAATATTTATTTATCTAACCATTTAAATGGGCTTTGTGAACTATCTTTATATGTTTTCTCAGCATCCATTATTTATGAAATTTGATGAAACGGAAACACAACTAACAGGTGGAATATGGTTTCCTTTATTTAAGGTTATCCAGGAAAAACTAAAATTTAGGTAAATTTAGGCAATATGTTATTTAATAGAGGGTTTTAACCAATAATCTACATTTTATTTTATAATAAATATCGGAAGAACTTCAAAATACACTTCATATTTTTTGTAATTTATCTCATCATATATATTTCTAACTATTGTATTTAATTAGTTATTTTGTAGTGCACCCGATAGATTATTATTTAGGATTCATAAATAAAAACGGAACCTGGACGGGAATATCAGGAAAACTTGCTTACCATGTGAGTAAATATAGAATTCCTGTAGCTAGAATAAGTTAGCATCTAAAATATTCATTGGACAAACAACAAATTATCTCTTTTATCAAAAACAATAGTTTAAAATCTATATTTTTTTCAATACAAGAAATACAGTAGAGCGTCGTTTATCCGAAACGTCGATTATCCGAAAGCATTTTAGTCGGCAAATTTAAATTTTTTCTAGTGTTGTGGCGATGCAATCTTTGGCTATATTTTGGGCTACTCCAATTTTTTTAGCTGGCAGCACTGGTACTTTTGTGTGGTGTTTTTCTGAGGACTGTGTGTCGTGCTGAATCGAACGTTTTTGATACTAGATCAACTTCTAAAGTATATATTTTTTTAATTTTTATATTTTTCAATATTTTTATTTTGTTTGTACAAAATAAAAAATTATTTTTAACGATACAATGGCCACAATTATTATTTTAGAAAGTTTTTGTTAGGCTTACCATCGACGAAAATTCAACGCGAAGTAACACGAAACAAAAAAAAATTTCAACATGGAATAGGTTAATATATTTTTTGTACATAATCGGTTATCCGAAAAATAAGTTATCCGAACAACCCCAGTCCCCAATTGATTCGGATAAACGACGCTCTACTGTATAATGTACCAAATTGCAAATAAAGTCAGCCTACTTTATTCTTTTGAGTAAAGTATGTAATTGATAATTATCGCAATAATCTAAATATTTATTGTTTAAGTATTAACTCTTGTTACAGACTGAAAAATACGGATTCTACATATAACATGAGGTTATGTAAAAAACGTGTATTATATTTTTATAAATTTATCGTTTCATTTATAATTCAATATCCTCTTATTCGTACAATAATAAGAAAATTCAACAGAAAACCGATCAAAATTTCGCAGTGCAAAACAACTTTATTAATACAGAAAATATTGTTTGATATATTAAAATTAAGATATAAATTTAAAACAATTTACTTTTTAATATTTAAGTTTGTAATTTTAGAAAGCTGATGTGTGTTTTATTGGTGTGGAAGTTAACTACGATCGTTTTCGTGCGATGGACTTTTCGTCTGTCTTCGCATCCTTTTCAGAAGTTTTTATCATCAAAGCACCAGATAAGGTTTCTGATTGGAATTCTCTAACTAGGCCATTTTCCTTAGAAGTAAGTAACTATAAAATATCTCGAATCCTACTTACCTAAATATGTAATTATATCGTTGATGAAATAGATATGGATCGCTGTATTTCTGAGTGTATTAATATTTGGTCTGGCCCTACATACAGTTCTTCGAAAGGAGTTCATTGGAGTGCAAACTCGAGAACGTTGGACACGTTGTCGAATTTTTTGGAATTTATTTTGCACATTTTTGGGGCAAGGTGAAATTATTTAATTATGGTGAAACCAAAGGTTTGAAAATTATATGTATATATTTAATGCCATTTAGGACTAAACGTAGAAAAGGTGAAAAGGTTTGCATCCAGATTTATGATAGGCACGTGGTGGTTATCGATTGTTGTTCTGGTATGTGGTTACAGCGGGGCATTAATGTCATTTATGACGTGTCCTTTAACTGAATCCTTTCCAAGAGATTTTCAGGAACTTGCCGTTTTTGTACGTAATGGTAAGTACTCATGCGGAACATACGAAGGACTTGCTACTTGGAAAGAAATCTTGGTAAGTGTTTTGAATTTTCATACTTTATAATGGCTTTGCAAATAACGATGTAATTATTAATTCCAGCTGTCGAAGTCCGAAAATATCAGAACTATAAAACAAAATATAGTAGAAAACAACAATTTAATGACTACGCCGAAAGCCATTGTGAAAATGAATAAAGAAAAATTTGCTTATATAATGTCCAAATTTGTAATTGTCCAGTTTATCAGTAAAGAAGAAATGCATAAATATGTCATTTCAACAGATGATCTTGGTACCTCGCCGATCGCTTTTCCAATTAGAAAAAATTTTCCATTCAAAAAGAATATAACAAATACGTAAGACAAATTTATATATTTATTTATGTAATACAATTTATATTTTTCCTCACTTAAAACCGGTAAATTTTTAATAGAGTAACTCGCTTGTTTGAAGCTGGAATTATAAAAAAATTATTACATTTAGAAACTGAAAAATCGTTACCGTCCTCATCGCAATTCCAAGCTTTATCAATCGAAGATATTAAAAGTTTATTGTTATTTATGTTCTTTGGATATTTATTGTCTATAATCTGCTTAACATTTGAAATAATATTTGCAAAAATAATTAACAATATGACTTTCAAAAAGCTTTATTAATTTTGATATTTGCTAAATTCATCCTATTAGTAACTTTATTCATAACTAGCTGCAAGGAACCGCTTCGCTGGGTTTTTATTTGTGGGCAAAAAGTAACGATAGCGAAGATTAAGATAATTACATTATAGCCAATCTTACCCGTTTTCACAGAATGCAGGAATTAGGTTCCCCGTTTCCAGACTAATTAGAGACCTGGTTTCCATTCTATTTCTGAACGTCTCCTGTTCACGTCCAGTCAAACGAACTATTTTAAACGTTTCTGGAACGTTTACAATCGTTTTATAATTGAACCAATATTCGAATTTTATGTTCGAATTAAATTCTAACAAATTCGAACATAACATTCGAAATAGAAAACCACTTTCAGTCCCATATCTCCCGTACCTTTATAGCTATCGAGACGCAACCACCATAGTGCACGAATGGAGACTTGGGGCTACTACCACATACAAACACCATTCACGTGCGATGTGTAGTTTTGGAGGATAAGTGAAATATAGGGACATACACGTCCATTTTTATATATATAGATATAGATATATATTTTAAAGCACATAAACAAATCTTTGTAGTTTTTGCACTGTCAATTAATTACAGTAAATAATAAATATCGTTTTAATACGAATAATACTCAATAAATTCTAAAGATTATTCTTTAGGGTATTTCATAAATTCGTATTTTGCACAATGAATGGAAAATTCAAGTTTATAGAAAAACTATACTTTTGTATAGCTTCTTACTTTTGAAATTAACTATAAATATAACATGTTTCTATAATTAAATACGATGTAAAATTTAACTTAATAATAGTCGTAAACTTCATATTCGTTATTGTAGACTAATTAACACTAATAATTGTTGTTATGTTAATTTTATTTGTTTAAAATGTATACATTTTATATAAAAGTATTTTATAAATTTCTTTTGCATTAAAATATATTATTTACTGCAAAAATTTTAAATTGGGTATTAAAATATTTGAAGTCAACTGAATTATTATATCCTTATTGCTTTTCTTCTGATGCAAGCAAGCAAACGAATGTGTATTAATTAAATAAAATTATGAATAAATCTATAACAAACTATATAATACGTTTTATCAATATCTAAATTCATTATTCACCTATGAAAATACAATATTAAGATTATAAATAATTTATACAAGGTATATGTTAAAAAAAATTAATAATACAGCTTATTTAATTGGACTGAATATTTAAAATATTGTGGACGTATAAATTTTCACTGTTGTTTTTCTGACTGTCTGTCCATTCTTAAGCTTCAAACGAAGACAGACACATGAAAGCAGAAAGTGGATGTGGCTAGCTTTGGAGCAGCAGTCCCAAATAAACTATACAGGAACTTTCGGTTTGCAAAGTCAAGTTATATAAATTCAAATTCTTTCCTGAAATTAGTTAGATAGATGAAAAGCACGACTCTATTGCTAGAAATGATTGTAAAAATTTGTATTATTTTTAAATTTGTATTCTGTGTACAATGTAGTAATACATTAATGCAAATTTTACAGAAAGCAGATAATAAATAGCTCATATTACAGCTTTAACAACATTTATGGTTTTTTACTAGAAAATTATTTACTGAGCTGTGTATCTGGTAATCTGTGATAATATTAATATTAGTAATTTGCTACACTTTGGAGTATATTTTAGATCTGCTATAAGTTTTTATTTTATAAGATTACATAAATAATTTTGCATTTAATAAGAACACATACGTTTAATTTTCTTACTTAAATTCATTATCATATCATCAAAAACGTTACAAATATCATGAAGTACAGTACACTGACTAAAAAAAGTATGTGAGTTATTAAAAATATATTTTTTATCTAATTTTTTATATTTTAAAACAAAACACCAAGAAAAATAATTTTTAAAATTAAGATTTAAACTATGCTCAGTTCTTAAGAAGGGGAAACTAAATCCTACTGTACCTGATCTTTTAGCTCATGTGGAGTGAGGTTAATTAATAGTTGGTATTTTAAAACTGTTTTCATATCTAAATTACGTACACACTCTTTAACAAATTTGTCTTGGAGAAATTAAAATTTACCAATTTTATTCCAATCGAGATATTTCGAAAAAATTATTCATGTATTCTTTGTCTAATACTTGTACTCTAAAATTAAATTTTATTTTGTGTGTCTAATATGATTTTTTTATGAATAAAGTAAAAATTATATAATATTTTATATTAATTCTCAGTTTAAAAAATTCGCAAATTCAGAAATAAACTCGCGAATTAAGTCACTTCTTTGACTTATTAAATCCCACTTAACATAATTTTTTATTCGTCAAATATTATTCCCATATAATTCCAATTTTTTATATTTTCGGTTAAGTAGACAGGAAAGATATTATACCTTCATAACTGTCAATAAATTTAAAATAATTTAAAGTAAACATGAATAAATTTTTTGGTCAATAATTTCAATTACAATTATCATGTATTTATTTTCTAAATTTTCTTGTTAAATGTTTCTGATTTATTATTGTGATTTCATCAGCTGATATTTTTCCTCACAAATATGACACAAAATGTCTACAATTACTGTATTAGAAAATATATCTGTATCTATTCCTACGTAACGATTTATTTTATTCAATAAAATATTCAAAACTTTTTGACTATTAAGTAAAAAATTATTAACAGCATCTTTATCACAATAACAATTGGTATATAATACGGTATTGTTATTTTCGATTATAACAATCGAATAACATATACAGTCGTCCCTCTATGACGCGGTAGATACGTTCCACTTTATACGAATTTCGCGTTGTAGGAATCCTTAAATGCATGAGCCAATCACAGTACGACACGTGTGCAGTTTATTGACTACGGCTGTTTGAAAGGTTTTCTTCCATAAAATTTACCGATTCTAGATGAATTTGACTCAACATTTCCAAAAACATGTATATTTTTTTTGGGAATAATCCGTATAAACTATGCTATAAACAAAAAATTGTCGGATTACTTACCGAGTGTGTACAGTCCGACGACGCCATTGCTTAAGCTTGTTTTCGTTGCACAGCAGTGCAAGAAACGGCTGGCGCGTTTTCTGATAAGTTATTTTTCTGCAAAAATTCACTGAACTTTGGAGACATCGTTAATAGAAATAATTTTTATGGCCGTTGAATAAGAAATGTTTTTTTTCACAAGAAAGGTATAAAATTACAGTGCTGTATTAGACTTACAGTACCTAATTTATATACTGTACAGACGATAGTAAACCTAACTTACCCGCCTAAACTATCCGTAGCGTTTAAGTAGTTTGGCTGCTTGTTTACTATTGGTCCAGATTCGACCAATCCTGTCGCGACACGAGTCGGCGATGACGTTTTATTGCATTTTATGAGTGTTTTAGCGTCTTTATACGAATACGGTCGTAATTTTTTCGCCGCAATATACGAATCCGCATTATATGAACCCGCGTTATAGGGGTTTCTACTGTAATAGATTTTATGAATTTAAATAGTTTTTATAAATCTTGAGTTAGGATCTAACGTGTTTGAAGAAACCTCTCAAATTTCTTCAAAATCTGCACGTATACATGTAATATAAAATTTTCAGTTTAACTTAATTTATCTGACAGGGTATATCAGGATTCATTGATTTTCCCTTTAAGTTTCTATAATAAATATAGTTTAAATATTATTTAATTTCTTACGTTTTGCATAATAAATAATCATTTTATAAATTTTCATTCTGATTAACGATACTCTCTAAGAGTAGTCAAGTAGACAATTATTTGTTTAATAGATCGAATTTATATTAACTTATGACGTATACTTTGCTTAATTGCTTCATTAGAAAAGTATTTTTAATGTATAACAACTACTTTGATCATAAACTGCACACAGAGAGATCGCATCATTCCATTACAGCCAGTTTTTATATGAAAATTGGACATATACCTTATTATATTCATATATCCATTTTCAAGTAAATAATTAGTATTAAAAAATTAGAATTATGTATTAAAAATTTATTTTTTAGTTAAGAATTTAACATTGAAAACCTTAACCATACGACATCGAATTTACGTTTCTTAATGTGACATTGAAATTAGCAGCAGTTGTACAAGATTTATGTTTCGTCATCACTCCGGTTACTTCTATCACCGAAGAGAAAATGGAATATTATGAGCTAATAACCTGAATGTACAATAAATAAATAAAAAGTTGAATGATGTCTAAATTCGTTACCAAACGACTGAAGTATAGACAGGTTAAAGAACTCACAGACAGAAAAGATTACACCTTCATAACCGTTAATAAATTTTAAAAAATTTAAAGTAAATATAAGTTTTTGGTCAATAATTTCAATTACAATTATCATGTATTCATCCTCTAAAATTTCCTGTTAAATGTTCGTGATTCATTACTGTGATTTCATCGGCTGAAATTTCTCCTCACAAATATGACAAAAAAATATCTACAATTATTAGAAACTATATTTATATCTATTCCTACATAACTATTAATTTTATTCAATAAAATATTTATAACTATCAAGTAAAAAATGATTAACAACATCTTTATCACAATAACAATTGGTATATAATACGGTATTGTTATTTTCGATTATAACAATCGAGTAACATATACAGTCGACCCCCTATAATGCGGTAGATACGTTCCACTTTATACGAATTTTGCGTTGTAGGAATCCTTAAATACGTGAGCCAATCACATTCCGACACGTGTGCAGTTTACGGACTACGGCTGTTTGGAAGGTTTTCTTCCATAAAATTAATCTATTCTAGACTAATTCGATTCAACATTTCCAAAACATGTATAATTTTTTGGGAATTATCCGTATAAACTATGCTATAAAGAAAAAATTGTAGGATTACTTACCGAGTGTGCACCGTTCGACGTCGCCATCGCTTAATTAAAAGCTTGTTTTTTCGCAGAGCAGCGCACCAAACGTCTGAAACGTTTTCTAATAAATTATTTTTCTGCGAAAAATTCGCTGAACTTTAGAGACATCATTAATAAAAATAATATTTATGCCCGTATAATAAGAAACGTTTTTATCACAAGAAATGTATAAAATTACAGTACTGTATTACATTTACAGTACCTAATTTGTATACTGTACAGACGTTAGTAAACTCAACTTACCCGCCTAAACTCTCAGTAGCGTTTAAGTAGTTCGGCTGCTCGTCCACCATTGGTCCAGATTCCACCAATCCTGTCGCGACACGAGTCGGCGATGACGTTTTATTGCATTTTATGAGTCTTTTAGGGTCTTAATTAATACGAATACAATCGCAATTTTTTTGCCGCGATATACGAATCCGCATTATATGAATTCGCGTTATAGGGGTTCTACTCTAATTGATTTTATGAATTTAAATAGTTTTTATAAATTTTGAGTTAGAATCTAACTTGTTTGAAGAAACTTCTCAAATTTCTTTAAAATCTGCACATATACAGGTTTTATGAAATTTTCAGTTTAACTTAATTAATTTATCTGACAGGGTATATCAGGATTAATTGATTTTCCTTTTATGTTTCTATAATAAGTAAAGTTTAAATATTATTTAATTTCTTACATTTTGCATAATAAATAATCATTTTATATTAATTTTCATTTTGATTAACGATACTCTATAAAAGTAGTCATGTAGACAATTATTTGTTTAATAGATCGAATTTATATATTAAGTTTGTTTAATTGTTTCATTAGATAAGTATTTTTAACGTATAATAACTACTTTGATTATAAACTGCACATAGAATAATCGCATCATTGCCTTACAGCCAGTTTTTATATGAAAATTGGGAATATACGTTGTTATTTTAATATATCCATTTTTCAAGTAAATAATTAGTTTAAAAAAATCAGAATTATGTTCTAAAAATTCATGTTTTAGTTAAGAATTTAACATTAAAAACCTTAACCCTATGACATCGAATTTACGTTTCTTAATGTGACATTGAAATTAGCAGCAGTTGTACAAGATTTATGTTTCGTCATCACTCCGGTTACTTCTATCACCGAAGAGAAAATGGAATATTATGAGCTAATAACCTGAATGTACAATAAATAAATAAAAAGTTGAATGATGTCTAAATTCGTTACCAAACGACTGAAGTATAGACAGGTTAAAGAACTCACATATGTAATATGCATTTAAAAGAAAACGTAAAAATTAAATTTTTAATGAAAATAATAATTCTTGTTGTACGGACTTTTCAAATTTGATAATAAAGAACCGTTTGAACAAATATATTATTTATGAAAAAATGCTTGTAAAACGGTAATATGTATCGAAATATCTTCTGGTACTTTCNTTTGTTAGGCTTACCATCGACGAAAATTCAACGCGAAGTAACACGAAACAAAAAAAAATTTCAACATGGAATAGGTTAATATATTTTTTGTACATAATCGGTTATCCGAAAAATAAGTTATCCGAACAACCCCAGTCCCCAATTGATTCGGATAAACGACGCTCTACTGTATAATGTACCAAATTGCAAATAAAGTCAGCCTACTTTATTCTTTTGAGTAAAGTATGTAATTGATAATTATCGCAATAATCTAAATATTTATTGTTTAAGTATTAACTCTTGTTACAGACTGAAAAATACGGATTCTACATATAACATGAGGTTATGTAAAAAACGTGTATTATATTTTTATAAATTTATCGTTTCATTTATAATTCAATATCCTCTTATTCGTACAATAATAAGAAAATTCAACAGAAAACCGATCAAAATTTCGCAGTGCAAAACAACTTTATTAATACAGAAAATATTGTTTGATATATTAAAATTAAGATATAAATTTAAAACAATTTACTTTTTAATATTTAAGTTTGTAATTTTAGAAAGCTGATGTGTGTTTTATNAAAATACATTTCATATTTTTTGTAATTTATCTCATTATATATATTTCTAACTATTGTATTTAATTAGTTATTTTATAGTGCACCCGATAGATTATTATTTAGGATTCATAAATGAAAACGGAACCTGGACGGGAATATCAGGAAAACTTGCTTACCATGTGAGTAAATATAAAATTCGTGTAGCTAGAATAAGTTAGCATCTAAAATAATCATTAGACAAACAACTAATTAATAGTGATGTAACGAATATTCGGTTACTATTCGGTATTCGGCCTATTCGGCCTATTTTTCGCTATTCGGCTGAATACCGAATATTTAATCACTATTCGCCGAATACCGAATACCTAAATTTTGTATTCGGCCGAATAGTGATTAAATATTCCTGTTTTTACTCCTGTTTTTAGGTAAACAGGAGTAATAAATAACAAAAGTACAGTAAATTAATCATTTTGGTATTTAGATCTAATGTTATCGGGTTAGTGTTGTTTGTTTACATTTATTTATAACTTACAACATGCACAAAATAAAAAAGAAAATATCAATATTAGTCACACGTATTCACAATTTATAATTACAAAGATCAGCACACGAACATACCTATTCGTCCGAGAATCGTCGCACATCCGAGTGTCCGACCCTGCCTATCTTTCTTTTTAAGCGCTTGTCTTTGCTCTTCCCTTTCTCTTTCCTCTATCGCTCTAATCCATGTATGCCTATGCATACATCATAATATACGCTCACGATACTTTCGATTCGTCACTTTTCTGTCTCAGATTTCCCATTTTACAATTACGTGACTCATAGTCTGGTGATAAAGGAGAAAACAGACAGATAGGACGTCGGTATAAGTCACAGATATGATTTCACTGATTCGAGACAGCTCGGTAGCCCGAACTGGCCCAGGCTATCGCCCGTGCACACTAAGTGACTTTCATTACAAGCATTTAGCTTTCCGAAGTCTATGACAATAATTATTTGGCATTGACGGCCGCGAATTTCGCGCCAATAAGCTGCCTCGACTTGTTCGATTATGTTATAGACTCAATTTCTTATTTATTTTCACATTTTTACTTGGCGGTCCTTCTCTGTTGTTTTTCCATTATTTACGCGTGTAGGTCATGTCATTGTTATCCACATTTGATATCATCATTTATGCTTACTTTATGATTACTGCCGCGACTCTCTTGTCTGTCCGCTACACGCGATTGGCAAAGCGTAGTGACAGCAGACCAATAGAGAGCAGGGTCCTCGCCATAATGCGGTTTGCGCGCCAATTTTCGTACGTGCGTTAATCGAGCCGAATAGTTTGGCCGAATATTCGGTTATTCGGTTACGCGGTATTCGGCCTGAGGCCGAATATACTATTCGTTGCAACACTACTAATTATCTCTTTTATCAAAAACAACAGTTTAAAATCTATTTTTTTATATACAAGCAATGTAATGTATCAAGTTACAAATAAACTACTTTATTCTTTTGAGTAAAGTATGTAATTGATAATTATCGCAATAAACTAAACATCTATTGTTGAAGTATTAACTCATTTTACAGACTGAAAAATGCGGAATCTACATATAACATGAGGTTATGTACAAAATGTATATTATATTCTTATATATTTATCGTTCCATTTATAATTCAATACCCTCTTACTCGTACAATAATAAGAAAATTTAACAGAAAACCGATCAAAATTTCGCAGTGCACAACAACTTTATTAATACAGAAAATATTGTTTGATATATTAAAATTAAGATATAAATTTAAAACAATTCAGTCTTTAATAATTAAACTTGTAATTTTAGAAAGCTGATGTCTGTTTTTCTGGTGTGGAAGTTAACTACGATCGTTTTCGTGCGATGGACTTTTCGTCTGTCTTCGCAACCTTTCCAGAAGTTTTTATCATTAAAGCACCAGATAAGGTTTCTGATTGGAATTCTCTATCTAGGCCATTTTCCTTAGAAGTAAGTAACTATAAAATATCTCGAATCCTACTTACCTAAATGTGTAATTATATCGTTGATGAAATAGATATGGATCGCTGTATTTCTGAGTGTATTAATATTTGGTCTGGCCCTACATACAGTTCTTCGAAAGGAGTTCATTGGAGTGCAAACTCGAGAACGTTGGACACGTTGTCGAATTTTTTGGAATTTATTTTGCACATTTTTGGGGCAAGGTGAAAATCTTTAATTATGGTGAAACCAAAGGTTTGAAAATTATATGTATACATTTAATGCCATTTAGGACTAAACGTAGAAAAGTTGAAAAGGTTTGCTTCCAGATTTATGATAGGCACGTGGTGGTTATCGATTGTTGTTCTGGTATGTGGTTACAGCGGAGCATTAATGTCATTTATGACGTGTCCTTTAACTGAATCCTTTCCAAGAGATTTTCAGGAACTCGCCGTTTTTGTACGTAATGGTAAGTACTCATGCGGAACATACGAAGGGCTTGCTACTTGGAAAGCAATCTTGGTAAGTGTTTTGAATTTTCATAATTTATAATAGCTTTGCAAATGACGATGTAATTATTAATTCCAGGTGTCGAAGTCTGAAAATATCAGAACTATAAAACAAAATATAGTAGAAAGTAACAATTTAATGAGTGTGCCGAAAGCCATTCAGAAAATGAATAAAGAAAAATTCGCTTATATAATGCCCAAATTTGTGATTGTCCAGTTTATCAGTAAAGAAAAAATGCATAAATATGTCATTTCAAGAGATGATCTTCGTACCTTGCCAATCGCTTTCCCAATTAGAAAAAACTTTCCATTAAAAAAAAATATAACCAATATGTAAGACAAATTTATATATTTATTTATGTAATAAAAATTTATATTTTTCGTTACTTAAAAACAGTAAATTTTTAATAGAGTAACTCGCTTGTNAACTTGCCGTTTTTGTACGTAATGGTAAGTACTCATGCGGAACATACGAAGGACTTGCTACTTGGAAAGAAATCTTGGTAAGTGTTTTGAATTTTCATACTTTATAATGGCTTTGAAAATGATGTAACTATTAATTCCAGCTGTCGAAGTCTGAAAATATCATACCTATAAAACAAAATATAGTAGAAAACAACAATTTAATGACTACGCAGAAAGCCATTGTGAAAATGAATAAAGAAAAATTTGCTTATATAATGCCCAAATTTGTGATTGTCCAGTTTATCACTAAAGAAGAAATGCATAAATACGTCATTTCAAAAGATGATCTTCGTACCTTGCCGATCGCCTTCCCAATTAGAAAAAATTTTCCATTCAAAAAGAATATAACCAATACGTAAGACGAATTTATATATTTATTTATATAATACAATTTATATTTTTCCTTACTTAAAAACAGTAAATTTTTAATAGAGTAANTAATAACCTGAATGTACAATAAATAAATAAAAAGTTGAATGATGTCTAAATTCGTTACCAAACGACTGAAGTATAGACAGGTTAAAGAACTCACATATGTAATATGCATTTAAAAGAAAACGTAAAAATTAAATTTTTAATGAAAATAATAATTCTTGTTGTACGGACTTTTCAAATTTGATAATAAAGAACCGTTTGAACAAATATATTATTTATGAAAAAATGCTTGTAAAACGGTAATATGTATCGAAATATCTTCTGGTACTTTCGAGAATATTTGTTTAAAAATTACTGTACACGATCCTTAAATATGAAATTATCCTTAAAAAGTTTAGTGGTTAATTAAAAGTTACAGTAAACAGACATAAAATAATTAATTAATTAAACATTAAATTCTTCGCAAACGCACAATTGATTAAAATCATCTTTTCGTTTTTTCACACTCTATAGTTACTAGTTATAAAACGCATCAAAGGAAAAACTAAAGAAGTTTCCAAATAGATTTCTACAGATGATTTTACTAGCAATAAAAACCAGGTAAAAAATAAAACATTCTTTTTTCCCTTTGTTTTTCTTCAGTTCCGATATTTATAAATAAAACAAATGTACATAACGAAGATTGCCATGAAGTTTTTTACAGACGAATTCAATATATTTTTACTATTTATATACCTTAAATTAATTTCTGTTAGCTTTTCAAGGTTATGTCCCCATTGCTTAGCGCAATGTTTTTAAACCTTCTTGAATATGTGACCCCTATACAAGTTAAAAAAAAATTCTGGCGACTCTGGCGGGTCTCCAGAATTGTACTTATTTTTTGTAGTGTAGGACCTAAAAACTACTCGTCTTTTTCTTTTACCCGCGACCCCTCTGAAGGTCGCGACCTACAGGTTGAAAAATACTGGCCTAGCGCATCGAAAGCCAAGGCTATTAAACCGCCATTGCGAAAGTCGTTTGGACCTCAATGGCGCCCGAACCGATTTCCAAGAAACTTTTCTTTTACTTGTTTTTTACCGTTGGCATCAAAATTCCAAAGGGAGGAACTGAGAAAAAATTAAACTAACAGAATATTTTTTGCCGCAATGTATCTACATTTCAACTTTTTCTGTTCGATTACCGATGTCCGAAGTACTGCTTCAATAAATTCCTGTTTTAAAAAAAATTTTTTTAAATTTGTTTAGGTTTATTTTTAATTTTGACATATAATGGAGTAAAACTTGGAATTCAAAAATATCCCAAATTTCGAAACGAATTCGAAATATCGTTTCGTAAAAAGAATACAAAAAACATTTTTATCCTGTATTCTGATGGAAGACAATTTAATTTTGATAAGAAAAAAACTTTCTCACAATTCCAAAAATTTTTTATTTTCATAACTTTACTAAGAAATAATTTTTTTCATTTTATGTTTGTAATACAACTACATTAATAAAATTTGAAGAAAAATTCAAAAAGTAATAATAAATGGTAATGTTTGGAACTAAATCACTCCTAACAACTTTCAAAGTGTTTACTATATTTATGTTAATTAATATTCTCTCTGCTATGGCGTTTAATGTGATAATTCACATTACTTTTGAAAGAGAACTTTTGTAAACAATAATCGCACTTAATTAAACGGATTTTTTTCCGTGTGAATGCGAAGATGCCTTACAATATATTTTCTTAGAGTAAAGCTTCGATGGCAATGGTCACATGTAAAAGGCTTCTCTCCGGTATGAATCCTCAGGTGCCTTCGTAAATCCGAACTTTGATTGAACCTTTTTCTACATAACTGGCAACTGAACGGCTTTTCTCCCGTGTGAATCATCCTATGTCGTTGCAAGACGTATTTCCGAGAGAATCCTTTGCCACAATCTCCACACACAAACTTCCTTTCCTTCGTATTGGCGAAATCTACGAAACAGAAAATGTTAAACTTTAATTTTCAAAAGTAATCGATCGTATTAATTACCGCAAAAAGTGCAAAAAACATTACTTCTGCACTTCATGACAGTAAACGCATCACAATAACTTAAAAAATAAATCTAAATTCAATCAAACATAAATAACATTTGTAACGAACAACCCCATGTTTGCATTACAAAAAAGAAATAGAAAACAAGTGTTTATAACAATGACTTCGCAGCGCATTGACAAAAAATGTTCAAGGTTTCTTCGTCGACACAATTTTTTCAATAAGTTTTTAACCAGATAAATCCTTTTCATTCGAAATCCATTTTTGCACAAGTAAAAGTTCACTTCCATCTTCCATTCTTGTAATTTTTCACGGAGATTCAAAAGGTGAGATGTTGGGTCCCCCGCAAGAAGCATCTTAAAGAAAAAATGTACAAATTAAACAAAGAATATGGAAGAATTAAGTTTAATTTTACCTCGAAATTAAGAGAATATTTGAGAAACTTTTAAATTATTGAACAGGAATAAATTTTAAATTAAATATACAAAGGATACTTGGCAATACTTAAGACGAGTGTCGAAATATCTGAAAAATAAATGAGATTCAATCATTAACGTTTTCATTGATTAGTCAAAATAAAGTGATTCCGTCCATTGAATATTTTCAATATGTTAATATCAAAAGCAAATTTTTTGACTCAAAAGGCTCATTTGATCGTACGATAGACGAAACGTCAGTTAGACCCGTTCAGTTATGTCTTTAGGACTGGGTACAAGAAAATGATAAAATTTTCTATATTCCTTAATTTAATTTCAGTAAATACTCACTAAATTTAGGAAATTTGTTTATCTATTTAGTAGATTATCGAATAAGATGGAGAATATATCGCACGTAATTAAATTACAAACGAACATTTACTTGAAGAAAATCCACGTGAAACGCTCGTGAAATCAATGTTCTTGCTGTTATCATTATCGCTTCATCTCGTAAAAGTTTTTCATTTCTTAATGACAGAGGTAAACGTTTATACCTTTTAATAAAACAAATTCTCTCTCCAAATAAATATAGTAAGACGTTACTCACCATTTTATCCGTTACATATTTAAAAAATAAAACAGTGGCTCCACCTGACATTTAAAAAGAAAAATCGTAAACTTCGACATCGAGTCATCAATTCTATTCTGTTCTAATGTTTACGAAACACATTTCCATTCAAATTCATTATTAGTAATGATGCTAACATTTATTTATTTCTTAAAAGTTTCATTACTTGTTATTTTTCAACGATTAGAAATTTTATTTAAAAAATACGTAAAACACAAGTTATGTTGACGTTTGTAAGAAATTCTCTTTAAAAAAGTATGTTTACTGCATTGGAAATTTTTACCTTGGAAGTATTCGCTATTATATTATAATTTTTGTATTATTTTATTAATAATTGTTCATTTCTATTTCATTTATACACGTTAGTGGAAGTGCCAACGTTCTATTCGAAAGAAAATTAATTTCGTTAATGTTTTTCTTATATATTTATGAATATTTTAATTAATTGAATTTGTATTAGTCGGCAAATATTATTCGTTTTATATTCTAAATAAAAATATATAGCATGGAAATTAAAAATCTAGATGTATAGGTAATGAAAAATAATTCAAAGGGCGTCGTTTTTTTTAGTTAAATAAAAAAATAGCATTTTTATTATTTAAATATAAATTTTATATTTNAGTATATGTAAAGTAACGTTATATGTTATATATGTTACAAGGTATATGTTAAAAAATTAATAATACAGCTTATTTAATTGGACTGAATATTTAAAATATTGTGGACGTATAAATTCTCACTGTTGTTTTTTGACTGTCTGTCCATTCTTAAGCTTCAAACGAAGACAGACACATGAAAGCAGAAAGTGGATGTGGCTAGCTTTGGAACAGCAGTCCTAAATTAACTATACATGAACTTTCAGTTTGCACAGTCAAGTTATATAAATTCAAAATTCTCTCCTAAAATTAGTTAGATAGATGAAAAGCACGACTGTATTGCTAGAAATAAATGTAGAAATATGTACTATTTTTAAATTTGTATTCTGTGTAGAATGTAGTAATACATTAATGCAAATTTTACAGATAGCAGATAATAAATAGTTCATATTACAGCTTATAACAGCATTTATGGGTTTTTACTAGAAAATTATTTACTAAGCTGTGTATCTGGTAATCTGTAATAATATTAATATTAGTAATTTGTTACACTTTGGAGTATATTTTAGATTTGCTATTAATTTTTATGTTATAAGATTACATAAATAATTTTACATTTAATAAGAACACATACGTTTAATTTTTTTCCTTAAATTTATTATCATATCATCAAAAAGTTACAAATATCATGAAGTACAGTACACTGACTAAAAAATATATGTAAGTTTATGCTTCTAACACAATAAAGTGTTATAAATTAAGACACTTGGCGGGTTTTCTCATCTTTATTTAGTTGATACGTGTGAAAATTTTTACACGTTTCGGGCTCTTAAGCCCCTCTTCAGCCAACTAAAACATTAAAAAAGAATATAACATACATATAAAAACACAAGTATTGTAGAAATCATAAAAATATAAAACGTACCTTTCACTTACAAAACAGTTCTACAAAATCCCTGATATAAAACATATTCTGGACATAAACTTATTATATAACCAATATAAACTATAAAACATATTCTTGATATAAACATAAACTGGACAACAACTATCAAATTGGTGTACAATTCATTATGCTTTCTACAAAATCCTTATTTCTTTTGATACACATTCACAATATAATACGAATTTACATAACTTCTACAATATTTTTACACGTATCAACTAAATAAAGATGAGAAAACCCAACAAGTGTCTTAATTTATAACACTTTATTGTGTTAGAAGCATAAACAAATTGTAAAGCACGGTTTCATATCATCAAAATATATGTGAGTTATTAAAAATATATTTTTTATCTAATTTTTTATATTTTAAAACAAAACACCAAGAAAAATAANCAAAATAATCTAATGCAAAAGAATTTTTCAGAGCAATAATTAGTTTCTAACTTTTGACAACAAGATTTGTGAGGATAATTTAATCTTAAACCGTGTTCTTTTTGCCTTGTAGTTGTGTTACTAATAGATATTGTTTTTGTGTAAATAATTCCAAGAAAAATAATTTTTAAAATTAAGAATTAAACTTTGCTCAGTTCTTAAGGGGAAACTAAATCCTAATGTACCTGATCTTTTAGTTCGTGTCGAGTGTCGTTTCTTAATAGTTGGTATTTTAAAACAGTTTTCATATCTAAATTAGGTACACACTCATTAACAAATTTGTCTTGGAGAAATTAAAATTTACCTATTTTATTCCAATCGAGATATTTCAAAAAAATTATTCATGTATTCTATGTCTAATACTTGATATTCTAAAATCAAATTTTATTTTGCATGTGTCTAATATTATTTTTTTATGAATAAAGTAAAAATTATATAATTTTTATATTAATTCTCAGTTTAAAAAATTTGCGAATTCAGAAATAAACTCGCGAATTAAGTCACTTCTTTGACTTATTAAATTCCACTTAACGTAATTTTTGATTGGTCAAATATTATTCCCATATAATTCCATTTTTTTTTATATTTTCGATTAAGTAGACAGAAAAGATTACACCTTCATAACCGTTAATAAATTTTAAAAAATTTAAAGTAAATATAAGTTTTTGGTCAATAATTTCAATTACAATTATCATGTATTCATCCTCTAAAATTTCCTGTTAAATGTTCGTGATTCATTACTGTGATTTCATCGGCTGAAATTTCTCCTCACAAATATGACAAAAAAATATCTACAATTATTAGAAACTATATTTATATCTATTCCTACATAACTATTAATTTTATTCAATAAAATATTTATAACTATCAAGTAAAAAATGATTAACAACATCTTTATCACAATAACAATTGGTATATAATACGGTATTGTTATTTTCGATTATAACAATCGAGTAACATATACAGTCGACCCCCTATAATGCGGTAGATACGTTCCACTTTATACGAATTTTGCGTTGTAGGAATCCTTAAATACGTGAGCCAATCACATTCCGACACGTGTGCAGTTTACGGACTACGGCTGTTTGGAAGGTTTTCTTCCATAAAATTAATCTATTCTAGACTAATTCGATTCAACATTTCCAAAACATGTATAATTTTTTGGGAATTATCCGTATAAACTATGCTATAAAGAAAAAATTGTAGGATTACTTACCGAGTGTGCACCGTTCGACGTCGCCATCGCTTAATTAAAAGCTTGTTTTTTCGCAGAGCAGCGCACCAAACGTCTGAAACGTTTTCTAATAAATTATTTTTCTGCGAAAAATTCGCTGAACTTTAGAGACATCATTAATAAAAATAATATTTATGCCCGTATAATAAGAAACGTTTTTATCACAAGAAATGTATAAAATTACAGTACTGTATTACATTTACAGTACCTAATTTGTATACTGTACAGACGTTAGTAAACTCAACTTACCCGCCTAAACTCTCAGTAGCGTTTAAGTAGTTCGGCTGCTCGTCCACCATTGGTCCAGATTCCACCAATCCTGTCGCGACACGAGTCGGCGATGACGTTTTATTGCATTTTATGAGTCTTTTAGGGTCTTAATTAATACGAATACAATCGCAATTTTTTTGCCGCGATATACGAATCCGCATTATATGAATTCGCGTTATAGGGGTTCTACTCTAATTGATTTTATGAATTTAAATAGTTTTTATAAATTTTGAGTTAGAATCTAACTTGTTTGAAGAAACTTCTCAAATTTCTTTAAAATCTGCACATATACAGGTTTTATGAAATTTTCAGTTTAACTTAATTAATTTATCTGACAGGGTATATCAGGATTAATTGATTTTCCTTTTATGTTTCTATAATAAGTAAAGTTTAAATATTATTTAATTTCTTACATTTTGCATAATAAATAATCATTTTATATTAATTTTCATTTTGATTAACGATACTCTATAAAAGTAGTCATGTAGACAATTATTTGTTTAATAGATCGAATTTATATATTAAGTTTGTTTAATTGTTTCATTAGATAAGTATTTTTAACGTATAATAACTACTTTGATTATAAACTGCACATAGAATAATCGCATCATTGCCTTACAGCCAGTTTTTATATGAAAATTGGGAATATACGTTGTTATTTTAATATATCCATTTTTCAAGTAAATAATTAGTTTAAAAAAATCAGAATTATGTTCTAAAAATTCATGTTTTAGTTAAGAATTTAACATTAAAAACCTTAACCCTATGACATCGAATTTACGTTTCTTAATGTGACATTGAAATTAGCAGCAGTTGTACAAGATTTATGTTTCGTCATCACTCCGGTTACTTCTATCACCGAAGAGAAAATGGAATATTATGAGCTAATAACCTGAATGTACAATAAATAAATAAAAAGTTGAATGATGTCTAAATTCGTTACCAAACGACTGAAGTATAGACAGGTTAAAGAACTCACATATGTAATATGCATTTAAAAGAAAACGTAAAAATTAAATTTTTAATGAAAATAATAATTCTTGTTGTACGGACTTTTCAAATTTGATAATAAAGAACCGTTTGAACAAATATATTATTTATGAAAAAATGCTTGTAAAACGGTAATATGTATCGAAATATCTTCTGGTACTTTCGAGAATATTTGTTTAAAAATTACTGTACACGATCCTTAAATATGAAATTATCCTTAAAAAGTTTAGTGGTTAATTAAAAGTTACAGTAAACAGACATAAAATAATTAATTAATTAAACATTAAATTCTTCGCAAACGCACAATTGATTAAAATCATCTTTTCGTTTTTTCACACTCTATAGTTACTAGTTATAAAACGCATCAAAGGAAAAACTAAAGAAGTTTCCAAATAGATTTCTACAGATGATTTTACTAGCAATAAAAACCAGGTAAAAAATAAAACATTCTTTTTTCCCTTTGTTTTTCTTCAGTTCCGATATTTATAAATAAAACAAATGTACATAACGAAGATTGCCATGAAGTTTTTTACAGACGAATTCAATATATTTTTACTATTTATATACCTTAAATTAATTTCTGTTAGCTTTTCAAGGTTATGTCCCCATTGCTTAGCGCAATGTTTTTAAACCTTCTTGAATATGTGACCCCTATACAAGTTAAAAAAAAATTCTGGCGACTCTGGCGGGTCTCCAGAATTGTACTTATTTTTTGTAGTGTAGGACCTAAAAACTACTCGTCTTTTTCTTTTACCCGCGACCCCTCTGAAGGTCGCGACCTACAGGTTGAAAAATACTGGCCTAGCGCATCGAAAGCCAAGGCTATTAAACCGCCATTGCGAAAGTCGTTTGGACCTCAATGGCGCCCGAACCGATTTCCAAGAAACTTTTCTTTTACTTGTTTTTTACCGTTGGCATCAAAATTCCAAAGGGAGGAACTGAGAAAAAATTAAACTAACAGAATATTTTTTGCCGCAATGTATCTACATTTCAACTTTTTCTGTTCGATTACCGATGTCCGAAGTACTGCTTCAATAAATTCCTGTTTTAAAAAAAATTTTTTTAAATTTGTTTAGGTTTATTTTTAATTTTGACATATAATGGAGTAAAACTTGGAATTCAAAAATATCCCAAATTTCGAAACGAATTCGAAATATCGTTTCGTAAAAAGAATACAAAAAACATTTTTATCCTGTATTCTGATGGAAGACAATTTAATTTTGATAAGAAAAAAACTTTCTCACAATTCCAAAAATTTTTTATTTTCATAACTTTACTAAGAAATAATTTTTTTCATTTTATGTTTGTAATACAACTACATTAATAAAATTTGAAGAAAAATTCAAAAAGTAATAATAAATGGTAATGTTTGGAACTAAATCACTCCTAACAACTTTCAAAGTGTTTACTATATTTATGTTAATTAATATTCTCTCTGCTATGGCGTTTAATGTGATAATTCACATTACTTTTGAAAGAGAACTTTTGTAAACAATAATCGCACTTAATTAAACGGATTTTTTTCCGTGTGAATGCGAAGATGCCTTACAATATATTTTCTTAGAGTAAAGCTTCGATGGCAATGGTCACATGTAAAAGGCTTCTCTCCGGTATGAATCCTCAGGTGCCTTCGTAAATCCGAACTTTGATTGAACCTTTTTCTACATAACTGGCAACTGAACGGCTTTTCTCCCGTGTGAATCATCCTATGTCGTTGCAAGACGTATTTCCGAGAGAATCCTTTGCCACAATCTCCACACACAAACTTCCTTTCCTTCGTATTGGCGAAATCTACGAAACAGAAAATGTTAAACTTTAATTTTCAAAAGTAATCGATCGTATTAATTACCGCAAAAAGTGCAAAAAACATTACTTCTGCACTTCATGACAGTAAACGCATCACAATAACTTAAAAAATAAATCTAAATTCAATCAAACATAAATAACATTTGTAACGAACAACCCCATGTTTGCATTACAAAAAAGAAATAGAAAACAAGTGTTTATAACAATGACTTCGCAGCGCATTGACAAAAAATGTTCAAGGTTTCTTCGTCGACACAATTTTTTCAATAAGTTTTTAACCAGATAAATCCTTTTCATTCGAAATCCATTTTTGCACAAGTAAAAGTTCACTTCCATCTTCCATTCTTGTAATTTTTCACGGAGATTCAAAAGGTGAGATGTTGGGTCCCCCGCAAGAAGCATCTTAAAGAAAAAATGTACAAATTAAACAAAGAATATGGAAGAATTAAGTTTAATTTTACCTCGAAATTAAGAGAATATTTGAGAAACTTTTAAATTATTGAACAGGAATAAATTTTAAATTAAATATACAAAGGATACTTGGCAATACTTAAGACGAGTGTCGAAATATCTGAAAAATAAATGAGATTCAATCATTAACGTTTTCATTGATTAGTCAAAATAAAGTGATTCCGTCCATTGAATATTTTCAATATGTTAATATCAAAAGCAAATTTTTTGACTCAAAAGGCTCATTTGATCGTACGATAGACGAAACGTCAGTTAGACCCGTTCAGTTATGTCTTTAGGACTGGGTACAAGAAAATGATAAAATTTTCTATATTCCTTAATTTAATTTCAGTAAATACTCACTAAATTTAGGAAATTTGTTTATCTATTTAGTAGATTATCGAATAAGATGGAGAATATATCGCACGTAATTAAATTACAAACGAACATTTACTTGAAGAAAATCCACGTGAAACGCTCGTGAAATCAATGTTCTTGCTGTTATCATTATCGCTTCATCTCGTAAAAGTTTTTCATTTCTTAATGACAGAGGTAAACGTTTATACCTTTTAATAAAACAAATTCTCTCTCCAAATAAATATAGTAAGACGTTACTCACCATTTTATCCGTTACATATTTAAAAAATAAAACAGTGGCTCCACCTGACATTTAAAAAGAAAAATCGTAAACTTCGACATCGAGTCATCAATTCTATTCTGTTCTAATGTTTACGAAACACATTTCCATTCAAATTCATTATTAGTAATGATGCTAACATTTATTTATTTCTTAAAAGTTTCATTACTTGTTATTTTTCAACGATTAGAAATTTTATTTAAAAAATACGTAAAACACAAGTTATGTTGACGTTTGTAAGAAATTCTCTTTAAAAAAGTATGTTTACTGCATTGGAAATTTTTACCTTGGAAGTATTCGTTATTATATTATAATTTTTGTATTATTTTATTAATAATTGTTCATTTCTATTTCATTTATACACGTTAGTGGAAGTGCCAACGTTCTATTCGAAAGAAAATTAATTTCGTTAATGTTTTTCTTATATATTTATGAATATTTTAATTAATTGAATTTGTATTAGTCGGCAAATATTATTCGTTTTATATTCTAAATAAAAATATATAGCATGGAAATTAAAAATCTAGATGTATAGGTAATGAAAAATAATTCAAAGGGCGTCGTTTTTTTTAGTTAAATAAAAAAATAGCATTTTTATTATTTAAATATAAATTTTATATTTTTACAACAACAAGTATTTTATACTGTTAGATAGTAGAGAAATCGAGGATTTAAGCGTTTACTGTATATCAGTAAAAATAAAAAATTGCGTTAATTTGGTTTATATATTTTGCCGTTACATTGCGCCATGTAAGCTTTAAACTACAGTCAGTAATATATATTATCCTTATATGAATTTATTAATTATAATAAACATACACTATGTCTAAAATTTAATTAAAATAGCACTCTCTAATTAACATTTGATATGAAGAAGTAATTAAATCGGGTCCCGCCGCCATCTTAAATAACGCGCCACTGTAAATGATCGATTCTGAGCGCGTCGCGTTGCATCAAATTAAATAATTTATAAAAATTAAAATAATAAATATGTTTACAAAATAATTGACTATATCTATTCGCAATAGTACTTTAAAACACATCGTACTTATAGTTTAGCATTTCTAATAACAATTAATTAATTTTTGAATTTTCTTATATTTTATATATAAAATGCGAATAAAAAAACATAAATGAGTAAAACTTAATAAAAAAAATATCTGCAACTTCAGAAAACACATATATATATATAGGAATCTATCAAAAAATGTTAGTTATTAATAATTAAAATCGAGAAAAAAAATAAAACTTTCGAGGTAAGGAAATTTCTGTGGTAAAAAGTGAGGTAAGCGATCACGTGACGCCCGTCTCTCCATCGTCTGTAACCAAAACGCCCGAGGGTGAAATAAAAGCGGAACCACCAGTAGAAGTAAAAACAAACATCGACGCGTATCTAGGACTATATATTTGAACGGGAACGAAGATGAAACACGACACTTTGTAATTTATGCTAATTACCTTTTAATATTAAAAAATTAAAATCATCAACAAAATTATAACAAAATTAAAATTTTTTGACTAAATTCGACTACAAACATATAGTAGAACTGGATTAAAGTAAAAGTAGCCTTTTTTCGACGCAAAATTTTTATTAATTAATTTTTTAAATTGGTGCCTAATTGACCGAGCGCGCGTAATTTAAATTTGATGAAGCACGCGCGTGCCAACGGCGTATGATTACAATTATCAGTGCGTTTTTGAAAAACGCACCGATAATTGTAATTTTGTCGAAATAATAATTTTAATAATATAATAATATAATAAATAATAATAAATTTGTCGAAAAACGTTGATTTTTGACAATTAACTAAACAACACCCGTACGCAAATCGAACTTAGACGAAATTGCATCGAACTTTCCCTAATCGTTTTTCCTGTAAGATGTTTATAAAAAGGAGTCTCTCCCGTACCACGAAATAGTGCTACGAATCGGGAGTTAGGACGCGCGTAATTATCCTAACTGCTGTCAGTTCCTGACTGGGAACAACCATCGAACGATTTGCGTGTTTCCGTTGTTACGGTAAGATCTGGCAACACCAGAGAGAGAGGGACGTGCAAGACAGATGGCCCTGACTAATGTATAAGAGTGGAAGTCGCCCGGTACAAGTAGGACCCCGAACGAAGCATTCAGAGTAAGTGCCTGTATTCCTGTCTCGCGGGGGTCTTAAATGCATCACGAAGGGCGTATAAACACTAAGTAAACCACATTAAACATCCGTTAAATCATAAGTTATTCCCTGACGAGAAGCCGGTAAGCAGGGTTGAGCTCACGGCCCTACACATCCTCGGTTCTCACACTTGGGTTCACACTTCGAAAAATATGGTTCGATTTATGTCTATACATTCTTTATCGTATCTATATTTTAGTTTGAAAACAGTTGCATATGCAGTTATTTTTGTGTGTCCTTTTTGCAATATATGACATGTTAATTAATAAATTTTTATTTTACTTTTCCTACATGAATATTTTTTTATGCCATATATTTGGCTATTAATATATCGATATTTTACCAATGTCGATATATCAATTCGCTATACCAAGATTTACTTTTCAATATATCCTTATTTCAGCATTATCTTAATAAGCGTTTCTTGACCAACGTGAAAATTAATTGTTCCATGTTGGCAACGTCTTTTAATGGTGTTCTGTACAAAATCTACAGTTATTTATAGAATTACTTACAGAACTGATCAATTTAACGATAATAAAACGAACCAATCTTGTGATGTAATGTTTAACAAGGAAATGGAAACCGCAAAAACGGTCACATGTAAAGTATAGCTTCGAATTTATTCAAAAACATCGTAATAATTACGTAACTTATAATAAAAGTAGAAGTATTAAATACCCTTTGGTCTGTTCATATTTTTTAACTCTAGCAAATTAATGACTGGACATTCCTATTAGATGTAATCAAGGAATTTATTAATGGTTTATTATTAATGTTTACAAACAGTTGTTTGACCAAACATATTATTGATGGATTTAAAAATGTACATATGTATCCAAGAATTTTTTGCCAATTCTCAAAAGAATTCTAAATAATAATTTTACACGATCCTTTATGATAATAATTTCGCAAAAGGTGTGTAGTTAATGAAAAATTACACAAAACAAATATGAATAATTGTGGGAATAATTGTAAAATAAAAAATTTAATTTTCTGCAAGTGAGTAATTGATTGAAAGATCAGCTTTTAGTGACTATCTTGTTGGCGTGCACAGCTATAATAAATTATTATAATTTATGATAATGTCGTATATTATCTGATATATTAATTTAGCATAAACCTCTATTCCGGTTGTTTGCTTTATAAATTGAACGTAGTGGAAAAGATTGAATCCTGTGCTTTGACAGAAGATAGGAAAATCATGACAGTAGATATCACTATAGAAAAAGTGTGCCTTGTTCAGTTTCTTCTGTGAAGGCTTCACAGTTTTTGTTTAATTCTCAGGTACGTATTTTCATAATCTGTCGTTGGGTTGAATTTTTTGTCTGTCCTGTATCAACTAATCTCAAATAGTTGTTCCTTGAACTCGAATCTTATTAACAGCTTTGTAATTATTAGGATTTTTATCTCCGAAATAAACTAATAGTATATGTAATTAATAATTTTCATTCATAACGTATTTTTTTATTTAAATTGCGTGTGTTACGGCATGTCTTATTATACCAACTTTACTCGAGATATGACACACGACATATCAATATGAAATGTATTAATTTGTTGTGACTCTTAAATCAAATTATTTTTTACATTTTTGGCTGTATTTCGTCCATAAAATGCCTACAAATCCAATATAATATTATGCATATCTATATGTTTTATACATAAATATAGTAACTAAAAGCAGAATGTTCTTTCACTGCCTGCCGAAACAGAAACAGAAACTTTCACTATACAAAGAAGTGCTATAAT